TGTCTCCCCATGGCTTACAGAGCAGTGACAACAAATCTCCACTCCTGTTCAAGACCACCAACTCTTTCCTGCAGCCCCCCAAGCCCAAGACCCTCTGGCATCTCAAATGGGTAGCCCCTTGGACCAACTCTCTGTACCATGATTCCTCTTCTACACCCTGGCGAACCCCCACCTCCTGCAGCCCCAAGGCCAGTCACGACTCCACTGTTCCTCCCCAGGCACAGAGGCTATCACCTGCTCCTTGGCATTCGTTCGCAAGGATTTCTCTGCCCTGCAAATCCCCTTGTCCAAACTCCCCGACTTCACCAATGACCCCTCCCTGCCCAGGCCCAAGATCGCCCGGGTCCCCACTGCCAGGCCAACTCCTCAAGTCCTCTCCCCAGCCAAGAGAGACCAACTCTTCCAGCCCAGGCCACGTCATCGCCTCTCCTCCTCAGACCCACCGCCTCCTCCAGAGTGTGAGTCCTGACCAGTCCCTGCAGCCCCGCTCTAAACTGCTGGCAATAAGAGGCTCCTCCAGCCTGCAAGGTGTCACCACCTCCACCCCTCCCCCAGGGCAGACCACCCAGCAACCCTCCTCTCAACTCCAGACCCCAAAGGACCTTTTTTCTTCGCGGTCATTCTCCTTTCCCCTCGAATGCTTTCACTGCCTCTCCAAAACTACCCATGAAAAAAAAAAGCAAAAAGAAAAACAAAAAAATTACAAATCTGCCTGGGTAACAGCTGCTATTTATGTGGCAGAAATTTCCAAGGACTATCTTGTTTAATCCTCACAAGTACCCCAAGGTGGAAATTAGCACCTCCATTTGCACAGGAAAAAATCCAGGAGGCTTAGCGAGGAAAAGCGGTTTATCCAAAGCCAAACCTTTTTGGGGACGTGCACTTTACCCCCCACTTCCAACCTGTGTCAAACTCTCCCATGCTCTCACCACTGAGCGTTCAGCCCACACACTGACCATCTTCCCTTCCCCTCACCCGAGGCCCACAAACTGACTGCCATCTCTGCCTCGCTCCTGGAAGCTTCCTTCTGAAGCAGCCACATCCAGGCCCCACCCCATGAACTAACTCCCCTATCCTGGCCCCTAAAATGACCCACACTGCCTGGATAACAATAACTGCAACTTCTTGAAGGCTCACCCTGGCCAATCACCTTTCACACATGATTTCATCTAGTCTTCTCCTAAACCCTGTGGCACGAGTATTGTCACCTACTTCACAGATGGGAAAACTGAGGCTGGGAGGAGTTAGGTAACCAGCCAGAGGTCACAAAGCAGGTAAGGGGCGGAGTCAGGATTTGACCTGGAGCCTCTGCTCCTGACCACCCTGCTCTGTCTCTCCAGGTCTTTCCCCTTCCTGCTCTGAACCCCCTGGACTGGATACCATGCAACACAGAGCCAGGGCCCATTCTCACTCTTCCCTTCTTCGGCCCCAATCCCCCAAGCCCTACAACCCAAAACTGACCAGCTATCCCTGGGAGCTAGAACACAAGGCCTTGGCTGGCTCCCAATGCCAAGAGTCTTAATTTAACCACTGTCTCTTTAACAAAAACTAGGCAAACTGGCATCTATGGCGGGCTCCCTGTGTGTTCCGTTTCCAGATACCATGTTTCCCACCCTCACATCAAAGCTACCAATTCCTCCACTGACCACAGAGTGGCAACAATTTCTCCCCTTTCCCCACCGGCTCCACCCCAGCAAGACTGACAGACTGCACCCACAGGCAAACAGACTCAACACTGCTCTCCATCTTTCCAGCGACTGACTTTCCCCCTTCCCACCCTCTGGGTCCAACACATCCCTCCAGCTGCCCTTTCAGCTCCAACACTGACCTAACCTTCTCCAAAGGGCCACGGACTTACCCCTCTCCCAACACCTCAGGCCACCAAACTTCAATGCTCTCGACTGCTACTGGCCAGAAACTCCAATTCCTGACTTGATAACATTCCCCAACTCTTTCTCAGGAAGGAAAGAGAAAACTCTTTCATAGCCAGGCCCCAAACTTCCTCTGTTCCTGAAATACTGACAACTTTCTTTCTGCTTCCTTTTTTTGTGAGGAGGAGGTGGCGTGCAGTGGCCTTTCTTATCCTTAATGCCTAGATCTAACACTGCCTCTGACTCCCTCACCCAAATACAAATCGACCATTGGCTCTACGCCTTTTCTGCGAGTTTATCTTTACTCCCTTTTACCAATTCCTTTTCAGCCACAGTCCAGGTTTACATTCCTCTTCCTCTTTTCAGCCAAGAATGTGACCAACACGACCACTCCTTATCCCGAGGCTTGCAGACCAGCAATTTAACTTCCTCCCATCCCCATGTGCCCCTCAAACTCTTCCAACTGCCCCTTCAGGGCCAGTGTTGACCCACTCTTCCTCCCCTCTCTCTGGGGGAACTATGAACTCAAAGGCTGCCACCCTCCCAATCTCACAAACCGCCAAACTTTCTTTAATTGCCCGTTGTTTTTAGGATTTAACAATTTTCCTTTGTCAAATCCTAAAACAATCACCCTCAGCGTCGCAGGGTGGGGGACGCATAAACTAGACACTTTTCACTTTCCCAACCCTATAGCCACCCCTCTTTAATAGCCTCCGGCTCTAAACTAACAACTGTCTCCTTAAATCATCATTAGGTGCAATTCATTAAGCGCCACCTCCGAGCTGGGCCCTGCACTGATCTCTCCCGACTCCCAGGTCCCCTCGAACCCGCCCCCGCCACACCGCCGTAGCTACCGTGTCTCCAAGGGTCTTTGGGTTCCACTGCTCCGGACACGATATCCTCGTCGGAAGGGAATGTAACGCGCTTGGCTGCAGCCTTGAGGCGCCCGTCGGCGGGGGGCGATGCTGGGCTGGGAGACCCGGCCTCGGCGGGGGCCTCTTCGGCGTCGCAGTCCGCGCCCGGCCCGGGCGGCGCCTCCTGCGGCGGGATCTCCATCGCCGCCGCCGCCTCCTCACGGGGGCCCCGGGGACATGCCCCGGGCCCCGGGCTTGTCTCTCCGGGCCCGCCCGCCGTCCCGGGGCATGGGCTCCACCGCTGCTTCAGGCGCCGCCTCCGTCCGCTCTCCGCGTCGTTGTAGTCGTCGCCGCCGGGAGCCCAAGCGCGCCTCCTCAGAGCCCCGCGTGCGCCTGCTCGTTCGCAGCCGCACTTTCGCTACAGGCCGGCGAGCCCGCCGCGCACGAAGACAGGAAGAAATCGATTTAAGCTATTTGCAGGTAAAGTTGCCTCGCGGGTGATATGAAGCGGGAAACAAAGAGCAGGAAGAGCCACGGCAAAAAGAAACGTGAGCAGCGAATCTGCAGAGCCAGAACCGCAGAGCTCGAGGGGCGGGGCGAGGGGGACGCGGTCTCCCAGAGCAGCGCGCAAGCGCGAACCCGAGCCGCCCCCGCCCGCGTCCCCGCCCCCCGCCCCGTCTAGATAACTCATTTCAGGCTCGCACACATTCGTCACAGGCCCAGGTAATAGAGAAGGGAATACAGAAGACAGAAATGAAAGAATCTGACGCTAGCTTAGCTGATGAGAGGTAGAGGGATGGAGAAGGAAGGGCGATAGGACTGCCTTGGGTACATGAGCACAGGCGATGGCTGCTGCTAGAGGGGTCCTCTGCCTGGAGACGCAGCCTCGGCACCCTTGCCAGTTAGTCGCTAGTCTTCCGTTTGTAGAGTGCAGGCACATCAATAGCTCTCTGTATCTGGGTAGCGTTGCATAAAATATAATTGTAATCGAAATTACAATAATAAAATAAATACGAACCTATGAGGGGTAAAAAAAAAAACTAGGGGAAGGAAGAAATTCCAAAGGCGAGAGACGAATCTGCCAACCAAAACACTGGTG